CAGATCTCCAGGGAGTATTAAGGGCCTGGGAATACCACAAGGAACATAAACCCAGGGCCCTCCCATCTGAGACCTCAGTGCCCTCTCCAGGCCCCTCACCAATGTTTATCCAGGGTCATCATGAGCCCATCCTGCTCTTGGTGTTGAGAGTTCCCCTGAGTTCAGAGCAGTAAAGGGCAACACATAGCAGACAGGCTTAGTATGTGCCATGGGGTAACTTCATGTCCGTGTGAGGGACTTCATGGAAAAAGAAATTTGCTGACTGTCTTAGGGTTCCTATTGCTGTGAAGAGACACCATGACCACCACAACTCCTGGGAAAGAAAAGAGCTTATTTAGGGTGACTTACATTTTCAGAGGTTTGGTCCATCATCATGGTGCGACGTGGTGCTGGAGAAGGAGATGAGTATCTCACATCTTGCAACAGGAAGTGAACTGAGACTCTGGACAGTATCTTGAGCATATATGAGACCTCAAAGCCCGCCTCCACAGTGACACACTTCCTCCAACAAGGACACACCTTCTCCAGCAAGACCACACCTCCTAGTTGTACCACTCCCTTTTGGGAGCCATTTTCTTTCAAACTACCACACTGGCTTAGAGGACCAGGGCCATAGCGTAGGGGTTGGCCACTAACATGGTGGGGAGACTCTCCAAAGAGATGTTGAGGTGGCTGGTGGTGTTGAACAAGTCCTACAGGAGAGGTTCCGGGCTACTCACAGATACTAGGTCAGGGTAGGGGGAGAGAAGCGTTTCTCATCACAGAAAAAAGGCAAGCCAGGGTTTCTTTACCATCTAGGTCAGGCAGGCTGTTGCATTAACATTTAATGTTGTCAACTCCCCGGGGGACATTTAAGTCCATCCCCGCATCCCAGCTGAGGATACTCTCTGGACACAGCTGTTTCCACTTGTTTCCATTAGTGGACTTGCCCTTCATTTCACAGTCCTTCTTCCAAAGGACTCGGGCACAGTATCCCCTCCCAAATTACCCTCCGTCTCTGGGGCCGCTGCTGGACAATCGCTGCTATAAGGGGACACCTGGCATCTTGAGGTCTGATAGACCCAGACCAAGAAACAACAACTGTTCTGTGTATAAGGCACTGAGGCACCACACGGTCCACTCCCAGAGATGTCAACTTGTGCCGCAATATCCAGTCTGCCAACTGTCTCTAGGACCTGCCAGTCCTCCCTGGTGACACACGGGTTGGGAGGAGAGGGGAATGGGGCACACCTGTTCCCCAGGTAAGAATGGAATTGCATAGTAGATTAAGGGAATTCAGTCACGAGGATGCATCTCTAGCCAGGATTCCCAAATATCCAGGCTACTTAGGACAGAAGGCAGCCTGACTTTCGCCTTCTGTCAGCACCTCCTCTCTGGGAAACATGGGAGGCAGCACAGAGGAGGCTCTGGGCTCTGGGACAGACACCCGCGTGGGGTGGGGGTGGGGCTTGGTTCTCTACTCTACTGCCTCTGTTCAGGTCACAGGCTTCCTGCACACGGAGACTTCTGTCTCTCCACCTCCTAGGATGGGGCCTGCACGAATAGAATCGGGCCCAATTAATTTCTGTGTCTGCAGGTCACGTCATGATCCTTCTACTTCCATGGCCACCGTCTGCTGTCCAGTATCCCATTGGTCTCCAGGGAACTAGCCTGAAATTGTCCAGGATGGCTCCTAGTGCTATTCTCCGGGTCAGAGGCCTTGGAGTCTCCCATTCCCTTTGGTGCTATTCTGAGAGTGTCTGCTTAAGGTCCCTTGACCTTCGCACTTGAAGTCTCCCCAATTGCCTGCAGTGGTTTTCCCTCTCCTCCATTCCCACATTGGGCTGGGCTGCTTTGAGCCCCCCCACCTCCATCCCGCAGCGCCCAGAGAACAGTCCTAGCAAAAAATGAATGGCAGTCAGAGTCTGGGTGGGAGATTTCCTCTTCCCTCCTTGCGACAGACTGGCAGCCGCGTGAGGGCGGGCGGGGGCCTGGCTGCTGAATTCTTTGTCTTCGAGGTGCCTCGGCAGGGGTCCGGTGGAGCCACGCTGAATACACAGCGGCTGACCGAGGGCTCCTGGAGGGAGTGCACTTCAAAAGGAACCTCCCCGGGCAGCTACAGAGGTGGGGGGCGGGGGTCCCCATCTCAGGTCTGAAGTCCCTGTCAGTCACACACAGCACGCAGGCTTCCCACGTGCCACATCTTTTGCTGCAGGTCTCGGGGGGGGGGGGCCGTTGCCTACCTCTCCCTCATCCAGGAGACCACCCTTCCTGTCCAGGGCCGAGCCTCGTGTCCACTAGCTGGTTTGGGAGTGAGATTAACCCTTTCTCGCCATGTGCAGCCTACCCTGAGGTCGGGGCGCCTATCAGAGAGAAGACGTTTCTGTAAGATACTCGTGGTAAGGGGGCTCCCTCGCTGCCTGGGCAGGGTCCATTCCTGCGTTGCCACCCGCAGGCAGGAGGAAGAAAATTAAGCTTGTGTTGAAGGAAGGACACCTGGCAAGAGAGACGAAAGGACTCCGGAATCCCCTCTTCTGGGGAACTTTCAAGTGGGGGGGGAAATCCCCACGCAGGCCTCTACACTCTGCCGCGGCAACATGCGCGGCCACTCCCCGCTTCTGGTCCCCTCCTCCCTTACTTCTTGCACTTTTCCCTCTGTTTGTTTCCTACCGGCTGAACAGCACCTGGGGCTGCCTCGGGCTCTAGGATGCATGTAAGAGGCACCTGCATACACACAGCCCGTCAAAGAACGACCAGTTTTAGCCACACCAGTACAGCTTCCCACGCATCGCTCAGGCAACCGACATCTTACCCAAAGCCACCAAGAGCCTTTGCCACTTCCCCTTCTAGGGCTGCCACCTGTGGAATCTCCAGGTTCTAAATGACCCTAAGAAGGCATCCAGATCAGCCTCCACACCGCAGTGGCGTGTTGCAGGCCAGGGAAGACAACTTCCCAGAGCTCAGAGACACTAGTGTTGGGCTGTCGAACCCCAAGCCGTGGTGTAGGACTTGAGATCTAACCCGCACTGATGTTCGTCAAACTATGAGGGGTCCCTGGGAAGAGCCGCAATCCAGTGCTCAGCTAAAGGGTCCCTAGCAGCCAAGAGCCTGTGGAAGATCTCTCTTGACTGAAGTGTCAGCCCTGGGGCTCTCTTCTACACTCCCGGGTAGTGGTCAGCCCCCCTCCCGCTGCCCTCCCAGGTGAACCAGAAATGGGACTGCAGAACCCAGAGGGGCATCTTTTGGGAATGCCCAGCCCCTGGGGGTGTTTCTAGGGGTGCTTATCACAGTGCCATCTTCCAGCTCCAGGTGTGGAGTTGTCCATCCTGCTCCTTAGCCCTCTTCACTTCTTGCCTTCTTCCCCTCCCCCCTCCTCTGTCTGGGAGCTCAATCTCGTCCCACCCCACCCCCGCCCCTGTTTTCTGTCTCAGTGTCTCTAACCACTTGTCTCTATCTCCCCTTCCTCCCCTCTTTCATCTCTCCCTCTACCCCCTCCAGCCGTGGATCGGGCTAGGAACGCGCAGAAGCAGTGACAAGCCCAGGCGGCTCTCCCGACCCTTGGTGCCCCCAGGGGCCAGTTCCTCGCTCTCCCTACACCAGAAGCAGCCGTGTGCCGAGTGGATCTGAGCTGTGGGCACCAGCCGCCCCGATCAAAGGCTAGGAATGTCTACTCCCCTGTAGGACTTCCCCCCAATCCTGTCCACCCCTATGAGCGGAGAGCCCGCCATTCCTGGCCAGGGAGGTTTGGGTGGACACCTTCTCTGGGCCTCCACACAATTCGCGGAGCAGGTCCCACCAAGGATTCTTCTCCTTAGGCTTGCTTTCTTGATCCCAAACCAGGAGCATTTCAAGAGTTTAGTGTCTCCTGTGACCCGGGAGAGATGCTGAGGGCAGGTGAGGGGACCGAGTCCAAATAACCTAGTTATAACCTAGGCACCACTTCTGGGCTTAGACCTAACTCCCAGGCTCTGGAGTATAGGAAGGAAGAAGGCCCCTTTGAGGCCTGGGCGCTTCCCCCTACATATGGACTACAGTAGGTCATGGGGTGAATCTGGTGACTGCACGGGACAACGCTTGGGCACCGAACACCAGGTTCTAGTTTCTCATCCGCAGAAGGGCCAGCAATGCGAGACAGAAGACCTGGGCATAGGGGAGGGAGGATATTCCTGGAGGTCTCCAACCACTACGGCCAGGGCTGACGTGTTTCACTGGTCCCACCCCAAAATCTAAAGGAGACTGCAGGTGCTGCTAAGGTCTGGCCTGCAGGCCCGCAGGAGAAAGTGACCGAGTCCTCCCGCAGGAAATGCTAACGGCGGCTGGTGTCAGTTGCAGGAAATGCAAAGGCTGCAGGAGGTCGCGATACCAATCTGACGCTTGACAAAAGACTCAAATGACACTAGCTCTGTCCCCCCGGCGCCGCCGGCTGGCAGACCTTCGAGCCTCCGCGGACTCTGGTGTGCGCCCCTCGGACACCCTGGAAGCGACCTGCGGCCGGCTGGCGGGGCCGCCAGCTCGCGGGCTCGGAAAGGCGGGAGGCTGGGAGGGGTTGTATTTCCCAAGCCCCTGATCCCAGCCGCGCGATCTGCAAACAACCTCTTGCTTTCTAGTCCCGATTCCTTAGGGGCCCAAGATCCGAGAAATCACAGTTCTCCGACAGGAAAGGGAGCAACCCATCCCTGCCCAAACCGACCACTTCACCACGTGAACGCTGGGTCAAAGCCCCAGCTCCCTAAACCTGGCTCGTGTGGTCTGGGGAGGGAGCGTCTCGGGCCGGCAGAGAATCCAGCGTGCCGGGTTCTCCCGAGGCCTCCGTGCGCCCCGGGCGCAGGCTTTGCCCAAGTTTGCCGGGAGATGCCCTTCCCAGAGCCGGAGTTGTGGGCCGGGAGGGGAGGGGCGCGTGATTGACAGGCTGAACTACAGACTCATCTCTTACCTTAGGCCGCGGGCGCTGATTGGCTGCTCGCTGACATCCTCAAACCCGGCTGCTCGGCGCTGGGCTCCGGAGGGGGGCGGCTGCGGGTGGAGGTGCGCTTCTGAAAAGCCCGAAAGTCATTTCCAACCTCAAGTGGACTTTGTTCCAACTATTGGGGGCGTCGCTCCCCCTCTTCATGATCGCCGGCAAACTTCCTCCTCGGCGCTGCTTCTAATGGAGCCCCACCTGCTCGGGCTGCTACTCGGCCTCCTGCTCAGTGGCACCAGGGTCCTCGCCGGCTACCCAATTTGGTGGTAAGACTTGCCTCCTGTCTGCTCGCGACCCCGATCTCTCGGCCGCGCCCGGGGACGGTGGGGGGCTCTGGCCGGGTCTGGACAGCCGCAGGCCTAGGGCTCTTTTCTCCTTGCTTCCCTCTAGCCCCCCAGCCGTCCACCTCTCCTGGATTTTCTGCTGGTGTTGCCTACCGAATCCAACTCTTGGCTTCTCCGATAATCACCATTTTCCCTGCTATCCGCCGCAGAGGCGGGAGGGCTCTCCCTACCCGCGAAGGTCTCTCATTCTTAGTCTTCATCCTCTCCCACTCTAATTTGGGGGTCCCGGAGACCCTTCGTTTGCTTACAGTTGGATATCTGTGCTGTCCCTGGGGCCCGGCCACTCCTCTTCTCCATTTTAGGGTCTATACACGGGCAAAATTATCCTGTCCTTCTTCGCCACCCTACCTCTTCGGTGTCTCGGTCAAGAGATTTCCCCCACAATACTCGCGTTTGCCTTCATATTTCAGACCCTAAGGGGGCTGGAGGGGGCATTTCACCAGATTATCCCCACTCTGCTCTAGATTAATTTTGAGCCTCTGAAGTGAATGTAGAATTTGCTGGTCCTAGATGCCATTGCTGATCCGGGTGTATTCGTTCTTTGCTTGTCCATCCGGGAGAAAAGGAGGTTGGGGGCACTTTGAAAATGTAGTTGTTTGGGAGGGGTAGGGTTGTTGTTCTCTGAGTGAAAACCCAGTTCTCATTGTCAAATTCGTTGCTTTTGGAAGACGGAGATGGGAAGAGAAAGGGAGAGAGCAAGGGGAATTCTGTCCCTGAGAAATACGGATACAAAAGGCATTTTGGTAAATAAGGCTGGGAAAGCAGGCGGAGTGAGGGGACTCACTGTAAGATAAACAGCCTTTTAGGAGGCCCCCACCCCTGGCTTCAGGGACTCCCCTGTTTTCCAAGCCTCATTGGTGCTCCCCCTCTGCAGGTCCTATAAGGGAAGACACTAAAACCAGTTTTCTAAATTATACCCCAGCTCTCCCAGTCTCCAGCCCCTTGCATTCCGGAAAACTTTAATAAAAGAACCCTCCCCTCCTGGACAGCGGCAAGCGGCCTCGGGGTGGGAGGTGGGGAGGAGGAATTTGGGACCTGTGAGTAAGAAGGAGACTGGCCCCTGGGGTGAAAGTTAGAGAGGAGTGCTACCAGGGTGATGTGCTGCCTGAATGCTCCCCCTCCTTGCCTGTTACCTGCAAGCCTGAAACATGAGGCTCAGAGCCTACAAGATGCCTGGCCACACCCCAAGTCTTCCAGCTGCTTTGGGGATACCTGGGTGCTAAGGGAGGGGACAGTCATGAACCCAAACCCTCAAGCCGCGGCCTGACTAAGGGTCTATTCAGAGGGCTCAGGCATTGCTCCTTAGGCAGATTACCCCAAGGACAGACAGGCTTTCTTTGCTGTGGACTTGGGCTGGTCAGGGCCTCCCGTGTGTATGTAGAGCCTGTGAGTGCTGGGGTAACTGGGGGTTCCAGGGAGGGGCTCTGCCAGTTGGAGGAAGGTTGCCTCTTGATTCTTTTTCCAACCTCCAGCCAAGGCAATGCTCTACCTTCTCTGGGAGGCTGGGGATGCACAGGAAGAGATGCCTGGAACCCTGGGGATGACATGGATGAAAGAGGAGAGTGGGCTTCCTAGTTCTACAAACTGGGCAAGAGCACTTCCTGGGGCAGTGCCAGTGTTAGATGGTGGTAGCAGTGGGGGCTGTGTGTGATGGTGCCCAGGAATGTCTAGATAAGTTCCCCCAACCAACAAGAAGCAATACTAGGAAAACCCAGAAGGCTGAGACAGGCCCTAACATAACACAACACACATGGCCTGTTTGGGGGTCGTGGGGGACCAGGTGGCTGCTTTGTCTGAGCTAGAGAGGGGATTTTAGAGATGGGCGGTTTGTCAGTGCCTGTGACTGCCTCTGTGTCTGTGGTACAGTGTGTGTTCTGGGTCTGTGACCCTAAGAAGTATGTCCGTGCACCAGCGTGTCTCTGTGGGTAAGAGCTGGTAGTGCCTGAGACCCAGGCAACTGCATGTAAAATCTTGTTGCCTGCGCCTAGGGGATTCGTGGCCCACAGCCGGGTGTGCCGGTGTCTGAATGCAGGTATCAGTAAGTGGCTGATTCTGTGATATGAGACTGAAGTCTGGAAGTATCTTTGCTTGTGTAAAGGGGACCCCCTGGCTTCTATTTGTGATACTGGACATGACATTATGTGTGTTTGGACCTGTGTGTTGTTTGTGCCTCTGTCTGTGTAAGCCCCTGCACACTCGAGAGCATGCCTTCTTGTCGGTGTAAGGGAGGAGGCTCAGCAAATGTCTTTGTGCATGATATCAGTGTTTGTGGCATGACCTGCGTGTGGTTGGAAGGATGAGAGTGAGCCTTGTGTCGATACCTGAGTGAGGGCTGGTGTCTAGGCCTGCTTCCGATCTTGTCCCCAAGTGCCGATCTTGTCCCCAAGTGCCAGTGCCTGTGGTTTGTTTGCTGACACCTGACTTGTGGACGTGAAGGACGCCTGAGACGGGGTGCTTGGTGGACATTCGTGGTCCTGAGGGGAAGGACAGGCAGGAGGTCTCAGAATGTGGCTGCAGACACAATTGGCCTGGGCTCCCAGCTAGATTGAGGACAGGGCCTTCCTTGGCCCTGGTGTGCCCTGTCTGCTTGAGGTCTGTGACTACTGACCCTCCTTCTTCTGCAGTTTCCTTTTGGTCTTGGAGCTGGGGTGAGGCATGAATCACCTTCTCAGAGCTGGAATTGGAGAGTGGGTAGGCCTCAAATTCTTGGTTCCCCCTCTGCCCCCAGGCAGGCAGATTCCAGTCCTTTTAGCATTTGAGTCCGTCGCTGACTGCCCTCCTTGGCCGACCCAGCTCCCACATTCCCCAGGAGGGATTTACGGGGGAATCGCTTAGCTTGGATTTCGGACCACATCACCTCAAGGAAGCTCCTCCGTCCCTGGTAACCTACCTTTGCTCTTCCTTGCTTGGGCCCCAAGACTGACAGAAAGCAGATGAGGAGAAGGATCTGAGGGGCCTTTTACTCTTGAAGGAAGCCCTGTGCTCCAGAGCCTTCCAACCAAACCAGGTCGTGGCTTCACTGGGCCAGGACTAAGTGACAGTGTCACTAGGACCAGTCACAGCAAGCCTGCTTTGTAGAACTCTCCTTGCCAGTACCAGTTAGCGGCTGGTAGAGAAATCTGTCCTTCTTCTCTTTCTTGGGGAAACTATCTTCCTCAGACCTTGCACTGTGTCATCTGTTCCGCAGGAGACCCCGGATAAGAGGGGCTAGGTTGGCTGGGTGGCTCATCTTTCTGTGTGACTGAGGACCACTGACCCCTCCCCTTTCTGGACCATTTTTCTCACATTTTACCCAGGGTCACCAGCTCACCCAACATTGCAGTTTAAGGGAAGATGTTTGCCTGTTAGAACAACTGGGCTCTTATTCCGGCACTTCAGAGCCCGCCCCCCACCCAAGCATCTCTCTGAAGCCCTGCCTCAGTTTCTCCATGTGTCACATCTTGCTGCCTCTCCCCTGCTCAACACCCACCCAGCAGCCGGTTCTGGTTCTCAGAGGCTTGGGAACGTGTTCAGTCAAACCCCAGTGGGGGTCAGTAGGCTGGGCCCAGGGAGGCACCTGGAGACTGCGGGGGAGGAAGGCCCCAGGCCAGGTGTTAACACTTGTAACAGGCAGGAATTACAGCTGGCTGGGGCTAGGGCTGGTGAAGAACTGAGCTGGCTGGAGGCTGTTGATCCCACAGACAGACAGACAGACAGACAGACAGACAGATGGGAGATACCAGATCGGATGGCCAAGCTTTAGCAGGGTGGTCGCCCTTGCAGAGAAGATCTTGCCTTAGGGGATTCGTCTAGGGGAAATGAATGCAAGCTCCTTGAAAATGAGCTCACAGCCCTCCTGCCCAGCCCACCCCTATTGTGGGTGGGGTCTCAAGCTCCAAAGGGAGCTCAATTGGTGGCAGATCTGTTAGCATCCTTCTGATGGCATCATACATGATTGCTAAATAAACAAACAAAAAAGAAAACAGGTCCAACGTTGTACTAATACCAGGAGTTGTGTCCTTGGGAAGAACCTACTGGAATATACAGAGAAGAAGGCATGGGGCCAGGGGGAGACACAGCAGTCAGAGGAAAGCCCCCCCATCTCTAAGTGTCTTGTTACAGCTTTGGGACCAAGAAGTAAAAGCTAGGCATGACCTGCTTCTTCATCCAGAAGATTCTGAGGTCTTGGGGCCCTGGGTGTCTATCCTGCAACGGGCTGTGATGGCAGAAGAGGGGACTCGGGAGTCTAGGTCTGGTGCCTGTCATGGCTGCTCTGCTGTGAACTCAGCTAGAGCTCTCCAGGGCCCACACTCCCTCACCTCTGGGCTCCTGTTCCACCCCTGATTATAGAGGCCAGAGGCAGACAGGGTGGGGCAGGGGTCGCAGGAAAGAACCCCAAGGAACAGACCGGTCCAAGCAAGCTTCTCCTATCCTGTCACTACAGAACTCAGTGCAGTAAGCTGGGTGGGGAATGAGAGCTAAATCCAGCAGCCTCCTGTGAAGCTGATGAAGAGAAGGGCTTCCCTTACCTCTGCCCAGCTCCCCACTTGAAGGCTGGGTCCCCACATGTATCTTTTCTTTTTCCTTTTTTGACGGGGGTGGAGTGGGGCTTCTCTGTGTAGCCCTGGCTGTCCTGAAACTCACTCTATAGACCAAGCTGGCCTCAAACTCAGAGATCTGCCTACCTCTGCCTCCTGAGTGCTGGGATTAAAGGCGCGTGCCTCCACCGCTGTCCGGCGATATATTCTATTTCTGTATATTCGCACTGGGTGCTGGAAATTGTTCGGGCTGAGAGTGGAGAGACTCCTGTCTTAAGTTCTGAGCTTACTGCCCATGGGTTGTGTGACCTGGGTGAATTTCTGTCCTCCTCTGTGCCTTAGGTCCTTGCTTCTCTCTGGGCTTCATGTCCTTGGCTATGCTGAGGGGTGTTCGTTCATCTTCTC